CCAATCTTCGCTCCGGCAGCACTGTTAGGCTACTTTTTTTTTCCATTTCCAATTGCCAAGTGATTTTTATTTACGTGCGCACCCGGGACATCCAGCACTTGAGGCGGACACCATGCCTAGAGACCACACAACCCACAACCCCCCCCCCCCCCCTTTCCACCTTTTAAGGTTCTTTTAAAAGAAAACTGCATTCGTGAACAGAAAGTAGGAATTTGTTGAGGTCCCTGAAGATTGTGAGATCCTTAGCTGCAGATTAAATACAGCACTGACGTAAACCTAGAGGAGACCCTATAATAACAATGTTTTTGCTTAACCACACCGACCTGGTCAGTGCGAATCCAATCTCTCACGGGATCTATCTAGATCGGTAACACTCCACTAAACATGTCAGTATACAAACATTCACACAGACATTCTCCCACAACACACACTCAATCTGCCAGCCTCACCCTCGCGAAAGTCCCACGCGAGTTTCCACTCAAGCGAGTTGCCGGCCCACTAGCAGGGAACTGCCAGAGATGTCCATCGTGCACTGGGCTACTGCCAAGACGGACCCCGTCATCAGTCAGAACGTTCCCACAGGATCGCCATCTGATTACACAAAGTAATTAGGGGGGGGGGCCGGGGGGGGGGTCATTGATGGACCAAAATGAGACGGAGTCTAAATTAGACACTAGTGCTATATTGCCTCTTATCGTTCAATCGGTAATGGTGGTAGTTGAGGTCGGAGAAATTGTCAACGGTGCGCTGGCGTTGGTGGGAGTTGAGGTCGGAGAAATTGTCAACGGTGCGCTGGCGTTGGTGGGAGTTGGATGAATGGTACGGGAAACTTGGCACAGGCTATGAAAACACGGGAACGCTGTTACGTGTCGCTAGGTGGGAGGTAGGGGGGAGGAACAGACAAAAAGGAGTAAGAGAAGGTAAGAAGAAGGGAGTTGGAAAGCACTTGAAACAGTATGACAGATATGTAGAAAGCACACAGAGCGAGAGAAAGAGAGGGCATGGGAGACAGTTAAGGAAATATAACAGTAGTGTTAAACAGATTTAAAAAAAAAAAAAACAAGCTAGAGAGAAAGAGAGAGAGAGAGATAGAGAGGGAGAGACAGAGAGAGGGGGGATGGACGAATCAGTGATATTAAAAAAAGAGTAAGCGAAAGAGACAAAACAGAGAAAGACCGGAGGAAACCAACAGTAATAATCTTTAGAAGAAGAAGTTGAAAAAAAAAAAAAAGGAAGAAGAAGAAGAAAAGGAAAACCCCCGTGTGGGTTCCGGGGCCCCATTGTGGGGAAAACAAGAGCAGACCCACTGCCTCCCCAAAAGCATGTCGTAAGAGTCGACTAATTGGAAAGCTTCCTTTGAAGTCGGAGTGCATCTGCTGGAGAGGCAAGGAACCAAAGTCGTATTCAAGAGAATGAGATCTGTAAAACTGATGCACACGCAACACTCAGGTTCTGGAGCAGGACTGCAGTTCAGTAGTGGACGATCAACCAGAACTTTCCGCCAGAGTGTACAGCTGGTGAACGCGAATAACCTCATCCTGTCCTCTCACACAATGTACTTCTTCCATTCTTTCAATGTTTTCTTACGAGTGTTAAATCATATCCTTACACACGCACGCACACACACACGACCAAGAGAACTGATCCCTTCTTCTGATTACTACGCACACTTCATCAATTCTTAATTCCCCCGTTCATTCTTGAATCATTATTTCCCATCAGCTCCTTAAGGCTTACTTCTATCTTGGGGCTTTTCCCAACTGACGACGTTCGCAATACATGCCCATAAGCCACACACACTAACTTCTTCCCTATGATCTCACACACGGTGTCATCCTTCACAATAGAATGTCACAGCAACTGCCGTTCGATCACTCCGGTATTTTCCTTATAATAAACACGTTTTCATCCGTCAGACAACAGTACGTCTCTCTCTCCTCTCTCTGATGTATTTATTATGACTGCAACTTCATGTGGCTGTTTCTCTCTTGACTGCCTCTCCCACTCTGTTCCCCTATTTCTCCTTCTGTCTCTCCCTCCTTCTTTAGCTCCCACTTCCCATTAACATTTGTTTCTCTAGCCCCTCTCCATGATTTCATCTGTATCTGGCTGTCTCTCTCTTACTCTTCCCTCTTCTTATAATCCATTGGGCCCCCCCCCCCCTAATTTCGATTAAACAGCATTACAAGTCTATGGTAAAACACTATAAATGAAATCAAAGTCAAAATTGTGATAGAAAGCATCTTACTTGTACTAAAATACGGATAAGAGTCGTGGACTATCTCAGTCATTAACGGGGGAGGGGGGGGGGGGGGGGGGGAATAGAGGTTTTTGAGTTGTAATGCTTTAGACAAATTCGCAGAATACCAAGTACCAAGAAGAAAAGACACACTCACATTCTAAATGATTTTAAGGTCACGGAAGATTGGCTGGTAAACAGCATCTTGTCTCGGAAACTAAAGTATTTTAGCCACATCAAGAGCCACGGCGGATTGGAAAAAAAAATAGAGCAGAAGGCACGGTACCAGGTGCAGACGCCGACCAGCGAAAGGGTATGGAATATAAGTTTGACACCCTTGGAGGGAAGTGTATGAGGCGGGAGATCTGGCGAGAGACCGTGTTTCTTTCATGAAGACTGTGATGAAAACGACGTTCTGCAAAGGACCTGCTATAAGATGATAGCCTCCCCTCTCTTTTCCGCTCTCTCTCTCTCTCTCTCTCTCTCTCCATTTAACTCATTCCATCTATCACTCAGTCCCGAACTCACCTCTCATGTTTTTGAGGAACTCCTCCAGCTTCATCTTCCGCTCGGCCTTGACAGACGGGTTGTGTAGGTCGGTGTTGAGCATGATGATGGCGAACGCCAGGAGGAAGATGGTGTCGGCGTTTTTAAAGTTCTTCACCTGGTCCGGATTACACTCGCAGTACCGGTCAGAGAAGGCTTCCATTAGCCGCTCGATTTTCTGGGCTTCCCCCTGAGATACAAAGAAGGCTGCTATAACAATACTGTGTTTAAAATAATAATAGTAGTAATAATAATAGTAAAAGTAATAATAATAGTAAAAGTAATAATAATAGTAATAATATTAGTAAAAATAATAATATAAGTAATAATAATAATCTGTTTGCGTTCACTTTCTGTAAACTCCGGCGACAAGTTCTGGTTGTTCGTTCATCCCCGGACTTTGGTCTTGTTCCGAACCTGAGTGTTGCGTGCACATCAGTTGTACAGATCTGACTTTATGTATGCAGATTGTTGGTTCCTCGCCTGTCGGGCAGATGTACTCCGACTTCAAAGGAAGCTCCCAATTAGTCGACTCTTACGACATGCTTGTTGGGGAGGCAGTTGGTCTATTCTTGTTTTCCACACAACAGGGTTGCAGAATCCAAATCATTATTATTAATAATAATAATCGTCGCCTTCAAGCTAGTTGCTCCACAGTTTATAGCCACGTCAACACTCTAACGAGGTTTCAGCTCTACTAAAGCACAATGATGGTTTACTATAAGGTACAAATAACATGTAACATGTCTATTTATTTCCTATCTATCTATCAGCGTCCATCAATACCCGTCAACTATTCATCACGGTTTTGAATGGAACTAATAGTACTCCAAACAATTGACAACTGAAGGTGTATCTATCTTACATGATTAATACATCAGGTAGAATGACATTCACAGACACGTGATGATGCTACCGACTCCCAGACACTTGATGATGTTACAGACACTTGATGATACTACCGAATCCCAGACACGTGATGATGTTACAGACTCACAGATACTTGATGAAACTACCGACTCACAGACACTTGATGACACTACCGACTCACAGACACTTGATGATGTTACAGACTCACAGACACTTGATGATGTTACAGACTCACAGACACTTGATGATGTTACAGACTCACAGACACTTGATGATACTACCGACTCTCAAACACTTGATGATGTTACAGATTCACAGACACTTGATGATGTTACAGACTCTCAGACACTTGATGTTACAGACTCACAGACACTTGATGATGTTACAGACTCACAGACACTTGATGATGTTACAGACTCACAGACACTTGATGATACTACCTACTCCCAGACACTTGATGATGTTACCGACTCCCAGACACTTGATGATGTTACCGACTCACAGACACCTGATGATACTACAGACACTTACCGGCATCCGGAAGTAACACTGGAACTTGCGCAAGGCGACATCTACTTGTAGTCCAGACAAATCAATCTCGTCACAGAAATATCTGAAAACAAGAGAAGCATACTTTGAGGAAACCAGGGCTAAACGAAGTACACCAATCTAGGGAGGAATCGGTCGCCCTTTGTGAGACAATGAAAGGAGTTTATTTAGAACGGACAACACTGGAAGGCCACAGTGTGATCTCCGGAAAGGGAAGGAGATTTGTTTCTGTCAGGGGCAAAATTAAAAACCACGTCCTGTCCCACACAACCAACTGTCAAATACAGAGGTGTTGAAGAGACCGTGAACAAACAGGAAGACATTTCGACTCAATTAAAAGACAACAACAACAACAACCACAACAACAACAACACACACACCACAAATCACAAACCTCTTTTTTTTATTTCGTGTGTTTATTACAAATGAACTGTTAATTCCTCCCAAACCGTGACCAATACACGAGTTACATTTTCATTTGCCATTATGACTTCAATGTTTAATTTATCAGTAACATTAGCGGCCCAGGTTAGTGTGTATTTCTTTATTTCTTGCGACATTAAGTAAAAGTAAACTTTCACCGGAGTTATACCCCTTTAAATATTTTTCCTTATTTCTTCCCAAGATAAGGTAATTTAAAAATTATATTTGACTGTTATCTTCCTTATTTTTTTTGTCTCCCACGCACACACACACACACACACACACACACACACACACACACACACACACACACCATATGCCGCGCCGGTAAGCGTAGCCTGTCATGATCCTGTCATGTTTCACCATCTCACATGATCGCCGGAATCATGGATCAGTTCAATATTTTTGTCTCAGCTCATCCATCTGGCCAGGCCATCCAGCTTTTTAAATCTTTGAATTCCGCTTGCTCTCTTTCCACAAATCGTTTCCAGTCATTACCAAATACTGACTGTCAGCCCATAACTGTTCTAATTTTAATTTGTCTCGATCTGTTATGGTGATCAGAGTATCGTGCTAAGTGGTTTCGCGCTGAATGAAAAAGACGTTGTGGTATTTATGTCTCCACCTTGGCCTGCATCTAGCGGATTATAGCCTTCAATCAAGCAACTTTGCTGCCACTGGCAGCGGCCTCGACAAAACGAAGAGTTCAACTCGGTGTAGACCACAAACGTTTGAACCCGGAACTACTGTGCCAGTCTTAGACTCAAGGTCACAAACAGGAAGCAGATATTTACTCACTGTTTACATGGGAACGTTTCACACCCAGTCAGAACATTCCAGAGAACCTATTTAGTAGAAACAGTAAAGGGTCACGGGCTGAGGTAGATGGAAGATCTGTTACATTCCCCTTTCATACAGGTCTGAAATTTGCGCACCTTATAAACGCCAGAGAAATCTTAGACCCGAAAGCAAGCACTCCCTTTAGACTTAGATCACAAACAAGGGTTACGAGTATAGAATTGAATCCCAGCGGATAGCTACTCAAGTGGTATTTCTGTGCTGGTTTGTTTGTTTAACATATCACCGGTGAAACGGCGAGCTGGCTACTTACCTAAGGAGCGATCACATTACCGGGATCATTCAGCGTTCAGAGTTGTGTATGTTTATTGTAACATCTCGGTCGAGACACAGGATTCTACAAGCAGTAACGGATCCCGACATCAGGGATGAACAGACACAACAGCCGAATAAATGCAAAAATTAAGGTTCTTTTGTAATATTCCACCCCAGATGACGCTACAGGACAGTTCAACATTTTCGAGGGTGGTAAGATTGGGTTTCCCGGTTTTCTGATGCTTTTAACGATCCTAAACTACGTAGAACTGGCCCTAACCCCAACCCACCTTCGTCCCACGAGAGAGTGCAGCCTAGGTCCCACGACTGCGTGCAGCCTATCTAGCACCCCTGAAATATTAGACTGCCCCGTGACCTGTGTATTTCCCCTGTTTGGGGTAGGATATTGAGAAAACACCACAGTAAATACTGACACCCCTGCCCCACTCCGTGACGGTTCCTGAGCACAATATAACTAGAATATCTCTGCACTGGCACCCACGGGGACATAGCAATAAAGGCACGCCAAAACCGAAGGAAAAAGAAGCTAGTGGGAAGTTTAAACAATTGGGTGAGCTGCATGTAACAGTACAGAATGGGACGACCTTGAGTGCGCTGAGAGCCTGTGTTTCATTGAGGGATAAGAACAATAATTTCATGAGTATATGGTTAAGCACCAGCAAGGAAATAAAAATTCGAATTTTGAGAGCATGCATCTTTCCTGTGGCTACATACGGATGTGAGTCGTGGACTATCTCTCAGTCCTTAAGAAAGAGAATAGGGGCTTTTGAGCTGAAATGCTATAGAAAGATTCTCAGAATATCTTGGACAAAGAAGAGGAGAAATATTAACATCATAAAAGATCTGAACATCAAGGAAGATTGGCTAATAAACAGCATCGTTTCTCGGAAGCTCAAATATTTTGGTCCTATCAAGCGCCACAACGGATTGGAAATAAAATATAGCACAAGGCATGGTACCAGGAGGGTGGGACAGGGGCCGACCGACACGAAGATGGGCACAGGATATAAGTGACTCCTTGAGTATGAAAGTACATGAGGCGGGAGAGCTGGATGGAGAGACGGAGTTTCTTTCAGGCAGACTGTGATGAGAGCGAAGTTCTGCAAAGAACCTGCTACATGATAATGATGATGATGATGATATTAACAATATAAGACAGGCAGATGTGTCGAGAAATGCGCACACGGTTAACTACAACAGACAGGTAAATGAGGACAAAATGAGTATCTGGGTAGATAGATGGGTAGGATACAGATAGACAGACACACAAAATCTGTAGTTCTCTTCATCTTTGCGTTCACTGGCTGTAAAATCTGACGGACAGTTCTGGTTGTTCCTCCACTTCTGGATTTTGGTTTCGCTCCACAAAAACTTGAGTTCTGCGTGCACATCCATTTTACAGAACAGGCTCATTAATAAACAGACTGATGGTTCTTCGTCTCTTAAACAGTTGCACTCCGACCTTAGGGGAACATCCATAATTAGTTGACTTTCACAACATGGCTGTCCCCCCTCCCCCCACCTTTTCCGTGCGCGCGCACACACACACACACACACATGAGGCCACAAAAATTGCAAGGGAAACCTGTAGTTCAAATCTCTACATTCAACCTGATGCTAACCTCTTCGTCTAACGTGACGCTACAAGTCATTCTGAATGAGACAATATGAGGATAAACACAACAGGTCTGATCAAACCATAAGGTTGAGACAACAACCCTCAGCAAACCCCCTGCCTCAGGTGTCAACCACAGACAACCCGACGATATCGCCAGTACAGTCTTACTTTATGAAGGAGTGGAAGTTTGGGGTTTCCCCGCTCAAATACAAGCACCACAGAACGAACTCAGTGAACCTGTTGTGCGTTTCTCTTGCGTCTTTCTCAAGGTTACAACACTACACGCTACCAAAAGAGATCATTACGGTCTGAGAAGAATGGCGCTGTGGAGAGTTACCAGGGGACCTGGCCGACGCTCAGCACTGAAGACAAAGGAGAGACGGATGTACAATTCAGACAGTTACTGGTACCATCGAAATTGGAACTCTTCGCTTGCTGCTGAAGATGGGAACGCAGCACTTATGGAAATGTCCCTAGTGCTATGATGTCGTTTCTTAATTCAACGTTCAGATTTAGCATGCCGCCGCCATATGAATACTGAAACGACTCGAAATACCCCGAGGAACAAAGAATCCTCGTGGGTTTCGAACAACTGTACGAGAGTCGCAACGAGGAAGAGATTGGGGCGTCACCACGGGATTCCTACAGACAACACAGGTACACTGCAGCCAACCTTAACGGTGGAGACGGCACATACATTTATTTTTTTTATGTTTGACTGGAGTCCTAGCGTTAAATTCGCCTCTTTGATGAGATTAACGCGCCTCTGAAATGCCCTTAACATTAACTCAAAAATGTCGCCGATGCTAATGTATGAATGCCAGGTCCTGTTCACGTTTCCCGACCCATCTATAGTTTCTCAGTCTGCTCTAGGTTAGAGGGGTGTCACGTTGTACTGCTATTTTTGAAAAGAGTCTTTCGTGTGACCTAGGCTCAGGCTGTGGGTAGGGGGGTTAGGGTTAGGGCCAGTTCTAGATGTTCTGAGGTCGTTGAAAGCTGTGTCGTCATGTAGAACAGAACACGCCACACCGGCGCTGATGTAACTTGAGGCAAGACAACTTGACATCCCTCCGACGTAGAAAAGTATGAGAGAGAATCAATGACAGGTCAGGTATTGTGTAAATGGGACGGGAAACGTGAAAAGGACCAAACGCCACTATAAAACCGGAAGTTGTCACATACTGTGAGAACTGAGTTGAGGTCAGGTCACTTTGAGCTGAGCAGATGTGACATTTGCCGATTCCCTTTGACCTCTACACAGCTGTCTATCACGGCGACCGGTATAACTGTCCCGTCAGTTGCCTGTCGTGTTAGCACTGTCAAATGATTATCCCCAGTTTGTATCTTCCTGATGGCCTTTCAGAGAGGTTTCCAGTACAGATTCTCATGTCTGCTTGTTCCTTCATTTCCGAAATTCTACAACTTTAAGTTGATGCATATGCGTATACCCCCCCCCCCCCCCTCCCTCCCCCATTGGTATGCTCTATTGCAGACTTCCATAAGTCCCGCCTTTATGTGTATTGGGCATATAGGGATAGACTTATATTTTATGGACCAATCGGCACTTGGTGGGTGATGTGGTCAGCATCCAGCCGGCCGCCTTTACTTTCCAGGACTGCACCTGGTACCTAATCAAGGCCTAATAAATAGGAAACTGTAACCGGGAGAGAGGAGGGAGGGGAGATGTAATGTGTTTGGATACAAAAATAGAAAAGATCTAAATATAACTGACAGACGAGAGAGACACAAACAGAGAGAACGAAAGAACGAACTTTATTTTCAAAGATTTACAAATTGGGCACGCAAGTCCGTCTTACATTCGGCCCTTCCCAGCACCCATCTTTCACAGAGCAGTTGTATTTTATCAACTGCTGAGAGAGAGAGACACA